AGGTATGCCTTCCTCCAGTGAATCAGGTGGATCTTCATCCCCACAGAGGCAGTGGAGTGTCCAGCCAACCCTAGGCAAGCTGAACAAGTCTGTGTACTGGTCAGATCCTGCCCAGTTGTCTGAGAGAGCACATGCAGTATGGGAAAATGAATGATACTTGTTGGGGCAGAGAATGATAAAAAAATAGCTGGTTGAGTGAAGACAGCATGGATGAAGAGCTGGGATGCAGATAATACACTGGAGATTTGTGGACATGGGTGGTTGTTGGCTCCAAAACCCATTGTGTCACCTGAGCTCTGCTGCAGACAGAGGGGTATTGAGGGTATTGCCAGAGTTGCAGATGGCTGCTTCTCTCATCTGCTCTGGACTGCTGGGTTTCCATCTAGCACAGCTGGTCCCTGCTGAGTTGGACTCCTAATTGTCCTGCTCATCACTCCTGCAGACAGGTCCCTCATGGGTGTGGTGGAGGCAGCCTTGGTATCAGAGCTACAGCAGCACAACCAAAGCTCTCTGTGTCTAGGGCCAAACTTCTTGGAGCAGGTGCTTGGGAATTCTGCCTTGGAATAACGTAGGTGTGTTGCAGCAGGCAGTGGTATTGCTACCAACCAGAGCAAAGATGAGTACTTGAACACAAGCAGCTTCTGCTGATCTCAGGTTGAGTCTCTTTTTTCAACATCCCCAAGGTAGGCAAGTGCAGGTACCTCCCATCCTCCCTGGTGGCACCCTTGGCTGGGCAGGATGGAGCCCAGCAGGCTCCAACAGTCTCCAGAGATGAGATGGAGCTCTGGCTTCTTATGTGCTGCAGTGGGCAGAGGCTGAGAGGGGTGGGCTTGTGCAGCCTGGGGGAGGGAAGGCAGTGAAGAGGGCTCTCACTGCTGCTGCAAGCTGTGGGTTTGCAGTGAAGCTGCAGCTTGGTTCTCTTGGGAAGTGCCCAGGGGCAGAATGAAAAGCAATAGCACACGAGGGAAATTCCAATTAGATATTAGGAAAAATATTTCCCTGCAAGGCAGTTTGACTCAGGAGTAGGGCCCAGAGAAGGAAGGCAGTTTCCACACTTGGTGACTTTCAGCCCCTGGCATGTGCAAACCCCAAGCAGTTTGCTTGAACTTGGCCCTGCTGTTAGCACAATTGGACCCAAACTCTCTGAGGTCCCTTCCCACTGTTGTTTCTCAGATCTGCAGTTCTCAGGTTGCTTGGCAATGTCATATCTCATGGACTATTGTATTGACCATCTTGGAAGTACATGAAGGGCTCAGGGTCTTGTTCTGTCTGTCCTCTTCTCACTGGGACTCATCTGTATGGTATTAGCAGTGGTGGGAGATGGAGGCACTTAGGAGCATTCCTCAACTCATTCACTTGTCCCAGCTTCTCTTAGCTGGAGCACCCATCTCTCTGTAAGTCTGCATTATTTCCTTCCCACATGAGCACAAGAAACCAGTGGGCAGTGAAGCACAGGATGTAAAGCATCCTCTTTGCTCTGCTGGAAGCACAGAGCTGTGATGTGTAGGGGGGTGCTGATGTTTTTGGAAGGCTCATGAGGATTCTGGCCTCCAGCCCTCCAGATGGAAAGTTTATCTTCCCCATGGTGCCTGTCCCAGAGATAGTGGTGATTGGAAAGGAAATCACTGGTAGCTTTTTTAAAGGTTCCAGCTGCTTGACCATCCTCAGCAGATGGACGCTGAGATGAGCCCAAAGGACTGTCTGGAAAGAATTATTTGCTCCCAGTGTTTTCTGTTTCTTTGCCAGCCTTTTATTCTCATGGCTGCTCTTTTCCTGATCCTGTCCTTTTGCAAGGCTGGCTGCTGGCAGTCTTATGAGCCTTGTCTTCAGGAACAACTTTGCTGTGTGATTTATTGTGTCTCTGAGCTTTGACCTGGTGTCTGATGCTGCAGAAGCCCATGTCTGGTGTGTAAGTGTTCAGAGGGTGTTTACAGTGTTTGGCCCATCCTGTCTGCAAGAGTAATGAACCAGAGCAAAGGGGTCTGCCATAGCCTTGGTGCCTGGGTTAAGCTGACCTGCAGCCGTAGCTACATCTGCTTTCTCATCTGGCAGTGGCTGGGTGGATGTTTGGATCCCTTTATGTGAGTTTTCAAGGTCTAGAACATTCTCAAAAACCATGTTAGTTCCTAGATCCCTTCTGAAGTTGCTCCTTTCAGCCTTTCCTTTGGGCTTGGTGACACTGGGCTGCCATCACCCTGTGCGCTCTGCTCTCCCTTCCTTGGCAGCCCACGTAACTCAATACTGCTCTGAGCATGCTGGCTTTACTTGGATATCCCTTTTACAGTACTCTCCTGCACATCAGGAGCAGTAGGATCTGGTGGTTTGGGCCAAGAGGTCCCTGAGGTCTGTTCCCAGCTGCAGGAGCAAATGCTGTGTAGTGGGGGATGAGCTGGTTTCTGGTAGGCCATGGAAAGCTCTTAGGTCTCTCACAGGCTTTGTCTCCCTAGGAGGGTCAGGTCTAGAGGGACATCTGTGTCCTCAGGGCATGGATCAACCACCAGGTTGAAGATGTTTTTGACTTAGTTGCCTCTGCTGTGTGTGGGGCCCCAGGGGTGGTTCACTCTGTGTGGACCAGGAGGTTTGCAGATTCATGGGGTGTAATAGGAGCTGGACCATGTCTCCTGCTGCCTTTCATATGGATATGCCTACACTCCCTCTTAACCCCTGTGTTTCCCTTCTGCTCACAGTTTCCCTTCTGCTCACACTGTTTGCTTCATTATGGGCAACACTGTGAATGTTTAGATGATGGTTGTGGCCCCCTTTTCCTAAATCCAGCAGGGTGTTTCACCTTCAGTCCTACAGGAAAGAGAGGTTTTCCTTTTCTATGACGAGGTGCAGGACATTCAAGTCATGTGAAAATACTCCTTCCCTGCAGTAGCCGTGATTGTGTCAATCTTCTTAAAATCCAAGGACAAAGCCTCACCCTTATGGCCCAAATACCTGCCCAGCACGTGTCATCACTCTGGCCTGTGCTAGACTTGAGCCTTTCTAAATCGCAGCTGGAAATGGGTGATTTGGGTGGGTGTGCACAGCCGTGTGTGTGTGTGGTATCTCCTCCCCCTGTGCCACGTACATGTCTAGTACAGGGAGTGGAAAAGATGCTGGATGTCCCCACAGCTGCTGCAGCCTTATCTGCAGGCTGCAGCTTGGTAACCAAGCAGGAGACCCGAGTGCCTGTGCTCAAGCACCTCCCTTGGAGGGCTCTTACAGTAAAGGGAAGTGTATTGCAAGAGGGCTTGCACTGGGGAGGGGCAGTTCCCACGGGGCAAATGCTGCAGTGCACAATCCTTGCTGCCCTCCCCACTGCAAGCCATTTGCTTACTCCCTCTTCAAACTTGTAGCTTTGACACCCAGAGCTGATCAGAGCAATTCAGCATCCCTGGGACTATCTCCACTGCCCTGAGGTGCCTGGTGACTGTTTGGGGAGGTACAGAAAGGTGATGGTGCTGTGGGTCTGTCGGGTGTCAGGGACTCATCAGGGGAGTGTGTGCAAGGAGTCTTGGGCTGTGGGGCTGTGTGTGTGACTGTCGGGGATGGGAGCAGCCTGGGGTAAGTTAAGGTATGAACTGCAGCAATCAGGAGGCAGCACAGCACAGGTGAGAGCTGGGGGCTTGCCTTGGGGGTTTGTGGAAACAGGACAGGGTCTGATGGTGGTTGAGGGTGAGGTGGGAGTGAGCAGGAGCATACTTGTGGGGATACAGAGCCCAGCTGCCACGGGGAAGGAAGGATGAAGGATGTGGGGAAGGGGCAGTGTTGTACATCTGGGTTTAGGCACTGTGAATGGCTACAGGGCATCAGGATACAGAAGGAGGTGGCTTGGTAAGGAGGCTTTGGATGCCTGTGGCTGTATGCAGTGGTAACAGAGGGAGAAGAGGAGATGGCAGAGCTGGGAGCAACAGGGCTGCCATCACCTGCTGATATCTGTGCTGTCTTCTCCCAGCTTGCAAAACATGACTTCACCACTGGAGCTCTCTGTCAGAGGCTCCTGTTTCTGTACCCAGCTAATAGTGCTGGTAAAGGGGCTGGGCTCTTCAGGCTGCACACCTAATCAGGCCCATGGTGCCCAGCCCAGGACAGGGAGCTGGCAGGAGGGGAGTTACTGCAAGTGATTGTCTTACCACTGGAGTTGAGTTAAACAGGTTAGTATACGGTTTGCAGGGCTTCTGATGCAGGCATCAGCTGCAGGGTGTTATTCTTCCTCTTGGGAAATCAGATAAAAGGGACTCTTGGTGCTAAAATTTGTAGATCACTCAGAATGGTGAGGGCCTCATCCAGACTGAGTCTGGGGAATGCGTCCCTTGGACAAACATCCTTATTGAAGTTGAACTGTGGCAGTGCATTGGTGCCTTGGTCATGGCCAGAGACCTCGGGTCTCAAGCAAGTGCAGACCAGAAGTGGTCCCTGCCCTTGGCCAGATCCACTTGCCTTCTCAAAGCCATTCTATGACTGGCTGCACAGGCATGTGATTTGGTAATCACACGGTGGAAAATTTTCCATTGGTTTCAGTTGGCACCAAGCTCTGGACTGGAACATCCAGTCTGCAGGGTCATCAGTGGCTGAGGTCCCCTGGGCCTGTTCCTCAGGCCACCACCTGTGAAGAGGGACAGGAGGGCTGGAAGGGAGCTGGCTGACATGTCCCAGTGCCTGAGTGGCCAGAGGATTGCTTTTACATTCTTTCTTGCCACAAGGTGACTGCTGAGGCCACTGTGCTGCCCCAAGTCCAATGCCATGGGGCTCCCCAGGGCTTGCAGGTGCGGTGCTGGCTGCACCCTCCCCTGTGCAGCAGCTTCCCCGAGGTGAAAAGACATGGCTTTTTATGATGTGAGCCAGCACAGAGAAATTTGCTGCTTGTGGACAGCTGTTGTCCTGGGCCTGGCTTGTGTCCTCCAGCACTTCTCACCCGGTGCTGCCTTGGGAAGGGAAATAGGGGCTTGTCCACCCTCGACTCTGTGCCAGGCAAGTGGGTGCCACCTCGGGCTAACGGGGGTGAATAGCTGCGGTGGAGCCTAGCAGCATCCTGCTGCCTCTGCAGGGATCCTCTTGGGCAGCGGAGAGTTTTCCCCACCCCCAGCTCTGCCGCTGCCTCTTTGTTTTCTGGCAGAAGCCTCTGTGCCTTTTCATTGCCGTTGAGGCGCCGAGCAGGAGCCTACATGTGCCGCGTGTGCGTCTCGCCGGGAATGTGATGCGGGCTGGGAATCCTGCCGGGCCAGGCAAATCCCCTGCAGGGCAGCGGAGGCCAAACAGCAGCTCCAGGGGTCTCCATCCCATGGACCGTCCCTCCGGTCGAGCAAGGCTTCGAGGCAGCTGCTCTCCCTCCCAAAACCCTCTTTTGCATTGACAGCGCTTCTGCACCTTGCCACAAGTCGAGTAAGTTGGTTGGGAAGGGGCCGGTCCTCAGCTGGGCACCGGGCTCTCCGCTGTGGTCCTCCCTCGCTCCCGCTGGGAAGGCACCTGAGATTAAAGCAGCGCCAAAGGCTATAGAGCTGGATACAGAGGTGGCTGAGGATTGCTTGTGCTGCGCCTGCCTCTCCATGTATTTGATCTCTCGACTTCCAGCGGGGACTGAATTCCTGTGCTGGATTCTGGGCTCGGCTCTTGTGAAAGGATCCAATTATTTTAGAGCTTTGAGCATCTCCATTTGCTGCCCATATTTGCGGCGGGCTGGCTGGAATTCCAAGTGATTAACGTGGCTGTGACATCCCTCCTAGGGGTGTTATCTTTGCTCGCTGTCCCCCACCGCCCCCCTCTTCCTCCTCCGGCAGCGAGCGAGCGAGACAGGCAGGCAGAGACAAAGGTCTGTCCTCAACCTGGGCTGTCCTCCCCGTAAGCGGCTGCTGCATGGGATTTCCCTGCCCTGCCTGCTGCAGGTTTCCTGGGCTCCCGGTCGAGCACTGGAGCTGGGCGGCCGTGGGCTGTATCGCAGAGGTTTGAACCTGCTGGGCTTGGGTGGGCAGGGGGTGCTGCCGGCCTTGGAGAGCTGCCCGATTGTCCTGCCGGATTTTAAGCTGCTTTTCATTCTTTGACTGTGCTTTCCTGGGAAGAGGGGCAGCCGTGCGTGGAGGGGAGGTTGGCGGGGAGGGGGTTGGACATGGGGAAAAGCTTTACACAGGTGTCTGTCGCATAGTGGGATCTGCCTGCAGACCCTGTAAACCCCCCTTCCCGGCCGCAGGCTATTGTCAGCATCGCCGTGTGCAAGCCAGGCACCTGGGAAAGGTGTGCGGAGGTGATCCGTGCCAGGACGAGGCGCGTCAGAGGGAAGGGGTAAGTGCCTGGGGTGGGAGCTCTGCTCCGGCTCCCTGAGCTCCCAGGAGAGGTTTCATTGTGTTATCCTGACTTGGCCGAGCGGAAAGCCTCAGTCCCTGCGGCACCTGCGTGGTGCTAGGGCTGGGGAGACACTGCATGTGGCTGGGAGAGCTCAGCCCTTGAGGAGGCTGCTGCAGCTTGGAGCCACCGCAGAGAGGGCTGCTCTGTCCCTGGGGGCTTCTGCACCCCATCAGTGCTGCCTCCCGAGGGATGGGAGGGAGCAGCAGCACCTCAGGGACACGGTGCTGTGGGCACAGGGAGGTGTCGGGTCTCTGTCTCTGTAAAAGCTGTGTCTGGTGGTTTCTAGGAGCTTGCACTTGTGACATGGGCAATACCTCTTGCCCAATCCTTCCTCTCTGGGCTCGGGCTTCCTTTCCATTCCTAGCAGGGGCTAGCACTGAATGAAGCTCTGCAGCTGCATAAATCTGGCATGGCAGGAGGCCTCCTGAGAACCCTCGAGAGCAGCATTTGCCCTTGCAGTGGGGCAAGGAAGCTCCCTCCCTCTGTATCCACTCCCCCTCCCTCTCCTTCTTCGTCTCTCTTGTTTCCCAAGTGTCAGCTCCTTCCTCCCCAGCCTGAATTCCAGGATAGTGCCAGAGCCATGGCCAGTGGTCATTTTTCCCTTCAGGCACAGTTTGCTCCTCTAGTATCTCACCAGTCAGCTTCTCCCTGGGATTGCCACCTCTGCTACAGTGCTGGAGGTAGTCCCCAGCCTCACGTGTCTGTCTCTCTCCTGATGGTGAGATGCCTGATCTGTCAGACTGTGCAGGAACCCTTCTCTGGTGGCAGCATTGCTGTTAGTGCTGCCATCCTTCAGGGTTGTGACAGAAACTTTCTGCCTGCTGGCACTTCACAAGCTCTGCTCTTAGCCTGTGCCAGGGAGCTCCTGGGTTTGTGCTCACACTGTTTAGATTTCCTTTCTTCTCCTTGGGTTCAGATAGGACCAATAGAGTTATGATTTATTCTCCAGACAGTCTGTTTCCAGCAGTTTCTGTTGCCTCTTCTCTTGCCTTGTACTCTGCTTGTTCTGAGGATGATCATTTGGCCTCTTCTAATGACGCCCCTTCTCCTTCCTGGCTGTGTGGTTCCTGCTTCACACCCAATGAGGCCACCAGAGTCTCTCCATAGCACTTCCCATGAGAGGAAGCAGGAGAGAAGGCAGCAAAAGCCACTTAGGCATTGGTTTGGGGTTTTTTGTGGTCTAAATTCTGCAGATCCCTCTTGGCCCTGCCAGCCACCAGGCTGGTGCTCTGTCCCAGGCAGCAGTGCCCAGGTCAAAGCTTCTTAGGGTCCAATAGCCATGTGTCCCTTTTGACTGGCAGGTAGTGCTGCTCTGGGAAGCCACTGGATTTCCCCTGGACAAGGGTGGCAACTTTGGGCACAGCTCTTGATATCTTCCTTGCACTGGTGCTGTGCTACCAGCCCTGCCAGGCTCCCAAGGGCTCTGCCTCATGACAGATAACCTCCCTGCCCCACACTCATCCAGCTTTCTCTGTGGCTGGCACAGTACAGCTCGAACAGCATCAGATCCTTTTGCAGGCTGCAGCCCGGCATGTGCTACTGCTGCTGCATTGCCCAGCCAGGAACCCATCCTCACTCGCCATCCTGCTCTGGAGCCTCCAGACTGAGACCATGGTCTGTTAATCCTGGTTTCCCCCTGGATGTGCTAATGGGAATGGAACCAGCAGGTAAGCCAAGTCCCTGACCCAGCCCCACCAGGCCTGGCTGTGTTATTCCATGTCAGGCTCTGGTGGCTCGGTGTCCCCAAGGAACACAGGGTTTCTGCCCCAGTGCCTGGGACATACTCCCTCTCTGCAGGTCATTTGGCACTGGGTATTTCTTGGGTGTTGAAGCGTGGTGCCCTTCCCCAGGCAAAGAAATAGAGGAAAGCTGTGCCTGACATAGCTCCAGATCCAGGTGCTGGGAGATCTTGGCAAAAGCAAAGGGTCCTGCCTGTTTTCTGAGCAGTGAGGGGGCCTTGGCAGGAGCAGGGCAGAGAGTGGAAGAGCTCTGAGTAGGCTTCCCTTAAGAGGCAGAGCTCTTTGAGTCTTATCTTAGGGCACCAGCACAGACTGAAACACTGTCCAAAAAAAAAATAAAAATCAGCATCATGTGGTCTTAGGAGGGGCCAAACCTTTGGTATGGGCACATGGAGCCGCATGTGCTGTGTCCACAGGGATGGTACCTGTGCTGCTCAGCTGAGCTGGTGAAGCCCTGGGCCTGGCTCTGTCCCATCCATGTGGCCAGAGTTAGGGCTCTGGCAATGCCTGGCTCAAGGGCAGGAGAAGGCAGAGGTGACCAGGTGCTTTCTGCCCGTGCCTGCTTGGAGTGGAGGACACTGTGGTCCCAGGGTTGCTGTTCTGTTGGGAGGTGGTGGGCTCCCTTGGTGCTGTCAGAGGCTGAGCTCTACTGTGAGCTGGATGGGCTCTCAGCAGGAAGGAACTGCCCTGGGAGGCACTTGACACTGCCAAGAGAGCCTCCCTGGGGTACAGCCCCTTGCATCTCCAGGAGGGTGAGAAGCAGAGCTATGCCCCAGCTGCTGCCCATCCCAGGCTGTTGGGCATTCCTCCCAGAGGATATTCAAGGAGATCTTAGGGTGTACTTGGAGACACTTTGGGTGATACTTTCCTGTCCCTGGCATGGGGCTGGCATTTTCCAGCACGATGCTTCAAACAACAGTATCTGGGCTTGGCAAAAGGTGGTGCAGCCCCTTGTTCTAGCGACTGGTGCTGGCAGCACCTGATGACTGGCGTTGAGAGCTCAGCTGGGAGGGGTTTGTGGTGCTAGCAGGTCAGCCTGTCCTTATACATCCATTCTCCTGAAAGGCAGCTGTTGCCAGGGAGAAAATGGCTGTGAATTCAGTGGGACACGGGGAAGAGAATGAAAGGACGCAGGTGAAAATTGTGTGTTTGTTCTGGCATGGACACACTCTTTCTTTCACTGCACCAGGCTGATTCTTGCTGTTGGTTGCTGATTTTGCTTCCCATTGGTTGACAGTGCCACACAAGTCATGGTACAAGTGTCCCTCAGAGATGGAGGAGGGACACAGCAACCTTCGAGGCAGGCAGAGCACAGCATGTTACCACTTCAGCATCCACCCACAACTGAGGGCATTCACTTGCTTTCCTATCTGCTTTGGTGCAGACCTCATGGGGTGCCAGGAGGAGCTGTTCTTTACAAAAAGCTTTTGTTGAGGTTTTAGACCTATGGTTTGTCATGCTGCAGCACCGATTTACCCTGCTGCAAGTGCTCCTTGGGTGCAGTTGTATTGTATCGCAACAAGTCCTGTTCTGGCTGGTTGCTGGCAGTGCCCTTCTCCAGCAGTGGTGGTGGCTTTTGAGCTGTCTAGCTCTCAGAGACTGGTCATGACAGCCTGTAATTACAAATCTTATTGGAAATGTAGTGAAAGAACAGCCTGTTTTCTGGGGCAGGTGAGATCAGACAGCAAGCACAGCTGATGCTGGCTTCCCACGTGCAAGTTGCAGGGATGCAGAATTTGCCAGACCAGACTAGGATGCCAGAAGGGGATTGCACTTGAGTGTTGCTGCCTCTGAGCATCCATTTGGGGTTTTTGTTCACCTGCCTGGCCCTGCTGTTTCCAGCCTTCAGAGCAGTACTCACTGCTGGCTTGGGGTGCCCAGACAGTGATGTCCTGCTGGATAGGTGCTGCAGTGAGTCCCCATTTGAGGGATGCATGAGGAGGGAGGTGGGGAGGGTATGATCCCTAGGGATAGGCACGATTTCCTCCTTTAGCTGGAAGCGCCTGGGCTGGTGAAGCCCACGAGCTGTCTCTGCCACAGAGGTGCTGAGGGTGGAGGTGCCCAAGGGCTCCTGCACACTCTGAAGGTGTTGCAGCATGAGCTGCTGCTTCAGTTGACTCTTCTCCACACCCTCTTCCAGGCATCAAAGCTGCAGTGCCCGTGGATTATGACCACAGGGGAGCTGTGTTGCATCTGCAAATCTCTGTTGTGCATCAAGGGCACATCTGAACAGGTGAGTGCTGTGCACATGAAAGGATTGCTGTCTTTGTGCTGGGGAAAACTGGTGGGGGGCCATTATGGCTCAGGGCTGTCAGGCTCCTCATTTCTGCCTTCCCTGACAGGCATCTCATACTGAAAGAAAACAATTCCAAGCTCTTCTCCTTATCTGTAGGGCCAGAAAGTGTCCTGTGCTGTGGGTGGAAGGGGGAGGAGGTGAACATGAGACCAGGAACTAGCTGGAGGCCCAGAGGTTGCTGCAGTGTCTTGGAAAGCAAGGCATGAAATGGTCGCCAGAAAGAAAGAGGAATCTGTTCCTTTGCACAGGGTTTCATACAGGAAGGCATGCAAAAGGGATGTAAAATCAAGCCAGGTATGAGAGTTCACAGCTTAGCTTAAAATATTTGTGGTTTAAATGGAAATCAAGGTGTTAGCACTGCCTGAGGTGGCTGAGATGTATGTGGCCTTTGATTTGGGAGGCTGGGAAAGGCTGAGCCTAAATGCTGCTTTCCCTACCTGCGTGACCCTGCAGACAGGAAGCATCCTCCTGCCCTTCTCCCAGGAAGCATCTGAATCACCCCAGTCCTGCATCTGCCCCTTTCCTTGCCCTCAGAGCCACTGTGGACACTGAAGAGCTGGAGAGGACGTTGCAGAGGTTCGGAGGCACACCGTGATGGTGGGAGCCATTCCACGGCAGCCACGCCGCTTCTGGGGGGTGCCTGAGTGGCAGGCGTCTTCAGCGAGCTGTGCCAACGACCGCCTGCTGCGGGGCACGTGGGCTAATCCGGACACAAGCAGGGGTAAGTCAGTGTGGGAGGCAGCCAGGAAGGGCTGCAGTGGTGGGGGCTACACAGAGGGGTTGAGGTCAGCAGGGACATCTGTAGGTTATCTAGAGCAGCCCCACCTAGAGCCATTGCTCAGGACTTTGTCCTGATGACTTCTGGTTATCTCCAAGGATGAAGATTCTCCAGTGTCTCTAGATAACTGGTTGTAGTTCTTGGTCACAGTTAAACAAAATGGTGTTTCTGATATCCAGAGGGAACTTCTTATCTAGATATCTAGATTAGATCTCACTGAGCCTTCTGTTCTCCAGGCTGAGCAGTCCCAGCTCTCATAGGACACATGCTCCATTCCACACAATTTTTTTAGTGTCCCTGTTTTGCACTCTCTCAGATGTGGCCTCACCAGCACAAAGCAGAGAGGGAGGATCAGTTTGCTCAACCTGCTGTTATTCCTGTGCCTTGTGCACTATTGTTTTTCTTTGCTGCAAGGGCATATTGCTGGCTCATGGTCAACATGGCACCTACCAGGACACCCAAGGCCTTTTCTGTTATGCTGCTTTCCAGCCAGTCAGTCCCCAATGTATCCTGGTGCATGGTTGTACCTTTTATCACTCCTTTTAAACAGACTCCCTGGTCTCAAGCACCTTGGCCTGCCATTTTCACATCCACATCCCAGCAGGGTCAAAATAGCATATGCAGGCTCATTCTCCACATAGCCTTGATCCACGTGGAGAAGAAAATTCTCTATTGCTCACTTGCCCCTAAGCCCTTGCTCCACAGGGCAAGATCAGGACAGCTGCAAATATAGGCAAATGGCAGAGCTGCCAGGCACGGGCAGTTTGTCCTCAGTCTGCTGGTGACTTTTCCTGCATCTCCTCAGCTCTTGCAGCTATTTCAGTATTTTTCATGCCTGAAACAAACCAACATGTGGACAGGATTCTCACAGCTCTCAAACTGGACTGAAAATCAAAAGTGAGGCACCATGCTGCACAGAGAAGGGCAGGCCCTTGGAGCTGGCAGGAGTGGGTGGATGGTGACCCTGGTACCTCCCAGCTGCTGACTGAGGTGCTGTAGATGCCTGGTCCAAGCTGGGAGAGGTAACAGGGATGTTAGGCCAGGTTCCTGTCCCCCCTGTCGTGGGGCTGGCACCAGCCCTGCCTCATTCTGTGCACATGGCCAGGGCAGGATGTCTTGGCCAGCACCGGGAGATGCTGCTGCTCTTGCCCAAAGGGGTGATTACAGGCCTGAGCCCCTGGGACTGGTCTGACCTGCCTGACTCCTGTGCTGCACAACAGCACAAGCGTGTCCCTGGCAGAGGGCAGGCCTCTTCCTCCCCACCTGTCCAGACTTGTCCACAGGTGTATCCTGCCTGTCTGGAGACTTCTCTCCTTGCCTGAGCCAGGAAGTGCATGCTGAACCTGCAGTTGGGTGATACCTCAGGGTTTCCCAGAGAGGCACATCAGCCTCGTTCCTCTTCTGTCCGTGGAGAGGGAGATTCAAGTGGACTGTGTAAGGAGCCATGTCCCAGTGGTCCCTTGCAGCCAGAAGCCTGGATGAGGATGGACATCCGTGGCTGATCCTCATCCTTCTGCTCTCTTTTTTTCCAGATGCCATGCTGCAGAGCACCTCATAGTAGAGGGCTCACACAGAGATCGTGAGTGAGAGGGGGCCCAGCTTCCACCCCCTGCCCTTGCACCCTAACCTGTGGCACTTTACAGTCCCCCTCCTGCTGCTGCATGGGCTCTGCTCGGAGTCCCAGCAAGTGAGGCTCCATGCGGCACATCCACACAGAGACGTCTCTGCCCCCGGAGCGCAGCACAGAGCCCAGCCTGTCCCGGCCCAGGGGAGAGACACCCTTGGAGCCTTCCTCACAGTGCTGCACCCACCGCAGCATCCTCATGGGCTACAATGAGACAGAGATCAAGCGCCAGAAGGTTTACCAGGTGTCCATCTTCTCCCATCTCTCCAGCTCCTCTGAGAGCATGGAGCAGCGGGCAGGCACCCGGCCAGCTGTCAAGAGGGGATACCCTGAGCAGAGAACTCTGGAGGGGGGGCGAGATCCCAAACGAACTCACTGGGGTGACAGGGGGGTGGATGGGGGCCCTGGGCAGCCTTCCCTGGATGATGACGATACCTTTGAGGATGGTCTGCTGGTGGAGGAGCTCTCCCTTTGTGGCTCTGCCCAGCACTTCTCCCACAGTGGGCTGCGGGTGGTGGAGCACCGCTGTGAGGGCAGCCCTAGCCACAGCCCCAAGGCCAGCAGAGAGGACAAGTCGCAGGATGTCTCCTTCTCCTCTTTCTCCTCCTCCTCCTCTTCCTCCTCCTCCTCCTGGCCCCAGCACATTGCTTGCAGTACTTTGCACATGAGAGACAGTTGCCCTGTCTCATCAGGGGATCAGCCCATAGACTATGGAGAGAATGGGGAGCCGGCAAGTGGCCACAATGTACTTCACCTTGACTTGCACAGTATTGCACAAACAACCCAGTTGGACCCTGGTGGGAAGAGAGACAAGCCAGGGAGCAGCCCAGCTCACAGCAGCAGGGCTGGTGAAGCGGAAGGGCCAGCAGTGGCCAATGGGTGCAGGGAGTCCCCAGTTCCGCAGACAGCGCTCAGCCCTGAGCCCAGCAGCCTGAGCTCCCAGGAGATGACACCCTGTGGGAGCAGCCAGCTCAGCAGCACCTGCCCAGCCAAAAGGAAGTTGCTGCCTGCTGGTGAGGTTATGGCCGACTCCTGCTCTGAGGATGAGAGCCTGTCCCCACCAGCAAGGAAGAAGAGGGTCCTGCCATGCCATCCTGTGCCCACAGCCTGCCGCAGCACTGATGCCAAGGGAGCTCCATTCTGGAATCACCTGCTTCCTGCAGCCAAGGTGAGCATTGCTCGTGGGGGAAAGCAGGGAATGGCCTGGGGGTGCCCAGAGCTCAGGACTGTGCTTGTGGGCAGTGTGGTCCACTGTGGCACACACCCTGTCCTGTCCCTGAGTTGCGATACTGGTGTGAGCAAGGCAGCAGCTGACAGTCAGCCCTGACACACATGGTCTGTTTAAACCAGCTCTTGACATCTTGTAGTCACTGGATCCTCTGTATACAACTGGCTTTTTCTCCTGGAGAGCCTTGATTGGACAGGAGACAACCTCTCCATGGCAGTGAGAGCTGGACATATCATGAAGCCACTTTTGGTGCCTGATGGCTTCATGTTAAGCAAGCTTGGGAGGACAGCTGGCCTCTGCCTGCCTGATGAGGAGGAAGGCAGATGTGTGGGATGGCTTGAACTCCTGGCCATGATGCCCATTAGAGCAAGTGACAGGTGGCAGGCAGTGGGACTGGACATGCTTTGACCAAGGAGCCCAGTGCTGTGTACAGAGATGCCACTGGCTTTTCTGTCATTTTGAGGTGCTTGTGGCGTGTTCTCAAGGTGCCACGAGCTGTCAGCAATGGGGCAGACACGTGAGGTTTGCAACCCTCCCTAGCAGCGCAGGAACTGCCTCCGATTCCCCCTTTGTTACCCTGCCCTTCTTATCAGCCCCCTGCCCTCACTCTGTCCTGCCAGCTGAGGCTGCAGCAGGCTCAGGCCAGACCTGGCACCTTCTTTGTTTCCTCTGGGGCATCCCATGGTGTGGGGACCCACAGGAACTGATGTCAGAGCTACCCTGGCTTCCTGCAGTTGGAGCTGGGACACACCATCCATGGCACACAGCTCCATTGCTGCCTGCCTTTTTCATGACTGTCCCCCAGCCCAGCTGCCCCCAGCACTGTCCTTGCAGAGTGAAGCCCTCCAGCAGCTTCCCTGGGTTTTCCCGCCCGGTCATGCCAGCCAGCTCCATCATCCCTTTGTGTTGTGCTACCCTTTGTGTGGCTTCCAGAAGGGAAAGCCCCTGAAAAAGGGACATCTTTAAAAGGAGGCTGCAGTGTGACTGTGGCTTTAACCCCCCCACCTCACAGCTGTAGGATCCTAGCTGTGGGTGGGGGTTGGCAACACACCTCTCTGCCTGGTGGCACTGCTAAGGACTTTGCATGAATCACCAGGGGACAGAACTTTTCAGAGGCTGGTCAGGGAGTGTCCTTGTAGGTGTCACCAGTCCCTGGGAGATGCAAGAAGGTGTCATTGCATGGCTCTGTCAACAGGTGTCTTGTCACTGGAGCTGCTCCTGAGACCTGCTTTGTAAAGAAGGAACAGTGTGTTGTACCCTTGGGTACCAACACCCTCATTCCCAGCTGAGCCACTTCAGGTTTTGGGCAGCCCCATTTCCCCACCAGACACCCCAGTCCTTGTGCTGCTCTGCTGGCCACTCCTCCAGAGGCCGCTGATGGCTGCCCAAGGACAGGAGCCTGTTCCATCTGCTGGGACCCTCATGGGAATATGGGGCAAGGCAAGGGATGATGGCACCTCCCAGGGGTGTGTGGGTCCTGGTTGCTGCCCTAACACGGTTCTCCATTTTGTGTACTCTGCAGAGCTCTTCGGATTGCACTGCGCCTTGGGAAAGAAGGGTTACAGTGTCCCCAAAGCTGGAACCATCCAAGTGGTGAGTCATTCCCTGGCCTGCAGTAGCACTGTGGGGATGGGGCTGGTTGGGCTCTGGTTGCCCTGCTTGCGGGAGGATATGTTCCATGATGTTGTTAGGCAGGGCAGCAGCTGGAAGGGGTGTCTCCAGCAGAGAGGTTACATGGCCACCAAGACACCATCGCAGAGGGGAGCACAGGGTACCTAGGGTGCTGTCAGGGAGACAAGGTGATGGGAGAATCAGGGAAGGAAGAGGTGGGTGAGGGTTTTGGCAGGAAAGTGCTTATGTGCAGTGGGAATGGGATGTGAGGGTAAAGAAGCACAGGTGTGAAGGTGGGTGGGAGGAACTGACCTATGGCACTCAGGCTAAGCCCTCTAGGACTTGTGTGGGGCTTTCTGGATCCTTGGTCCAGCAGCTTCTGCTCCCAACTCTGCCCTGCATCCTTCCCAGTCTCACCCCCTACCCCTCTGCCCCCAGACCTTATTTAACCCCAACAAGACTGTGGTGAAGATGTTCTTGGTGACGTACGACTTCCAGGACATGCCAGCCAACCACATGACCTTCCTACGCCATCGCATCTTCCTGGTGCCCGTGGGGGAGGAAGAGGGGTGCACAGTGGCCCCCAGTGACCCACTGGGCACCAACCCACCCCGCAGGGTCCTCTGCTACCTGATGCATCTAAGGTAAAGCATGCCAGGGGGATGGGCATCTGCCCCAAGGTCATCCCTCGGCTCCTCTCTTGTCTTGTCCCAAGCCAAGACAGGAGGAGGGACTGGGGAGGAGCAGGGACCAGCTACTCCTTTGGAGAGGTTGGAGCTGCCACCCTGCCCAAGGGCAGCTGTCCGTGTCCCTCTGAAGGCAACCAGAGGGTGGCCACATTGACCAGGGGCCAAAGTAGTCAAGGGGGTTGTGCCCTCACTGAGGATGTCCTGCCCTTGCCTGGGGAGCCTGAGGTCCCTCTGCCCTGCTCGTCTCCACGCAGGTTTCACAGCTCCAAGTCAGGGAAGATCTACCTTCATGACGACATTCGGCTGCTTTTCTCGCGCAAGTCGATCGAGGTGGATTCGGGGATCCCCTATGAACTGAAATCCTTCACAGAGATGCCGCGGAACCCCTGCTACTCACCCCGGGCCTGACCTTCTTCACTCCCCGCTCCCCAGGGCCACTGGGGAGCCTCCAGCCCAGCAGGTTGGGGAGAGATGAGTAAAGGGCCAGCAAGCACTGCTTTGAGATATCACCCACCCCTCCTGACCAGCACGGACACCACGCTCTGCAGCAGGGCCGGGATCACCCAGGGGCCTTCACCAAGAGGGGCAGGGGCTGAGGAACAGCCCTGGCACCCCAGGGACATGTCCAAGCCTTCTGCTGGCACTGCTCCCAGCTTGGAGACTTGGCTGTGGCTGAGGTGGGTGGGTGTGGAGTGAAGAGTTGGACTGGAGTTGTGAGCAAGACCACCCACACTGGTCTCGGGTCTGGAAGCAGAAAGCGTGGAAGAGTTTGTATTTATTAGTATTTATTGTTGCTGGGAGCGCAGAGGAGGCTCGTGCAGAGCATCAGAGGTGCTGTGCTTGTTCTTCCCCTCAGCCCTGCCTGCACCATGCTGCCTGTGTTCGGGCAGGGCTGTGGGGACTATGAGGCCTCAGCCCATGGAAGGGGGAGTGACCCAGTGCTCACACAGGGTGCAGCTCCCAGATCAGGGGTCTATTAAAAGCCCAGTGACAGGCTGAGCCTCGCTGGCACCAGCTTTGCAGGGCCAGCCCAACTCCAAGCAGCTTGGAGAGGCTTGCCCTTATCTTCTCAGACTTTTAGGGTAAGCCAGACCCCAAGAGACCTAAGGCTGTCAAGGAAGTGGCCACTGCCAGGTTCCTGAAGGTAAGAGACACAGCTGCCACGTGGATGGGGACCTGGAGCTCTTTGCAGGAATATGGGGATAGCCCTTTGGGCAAGAGCCTCCAGAGCACGTGAGCTGTGAATCTGAGAAGATTGCCAAAAAAAAAAAAAGGAACTTTGCACTGTCTGTGGCTGGGGGTGAATCCCATGCAGGAGGCAGCTTTGGGCAGGGTCTGCCGGCAGGGTGATTGGGGGCTGGAGGATGGTCAGGAGCCCCAGCTTAGAAAAATAGGGAAATGGGGAAGCAACAGAGGAAATCAAACTCTGGGAGTTGGGTTGGTTCCTCAGGAACAGGACTGGGAGAATCCAGACTGGGGCAGTCAGAGGGACAGGGCCAATGGTAAAACAAGCTTGCACATTCCCTGTCTGTATCACCTCCCTGCCCTCTGAGGGTCTCGGCAAGGCTCCCCTGCCAGCCCAGGCTGTGGGGACCCTCAGCCCCTCCGTCAGAGAGAACAAGAGGGCGGCAGGCCCGACCCCATCAACTCATAGCCCTGGGGCTGAGACTCAGTGTGGGGATGGGCCAGGACAGGGGGCTGCCCGGGGGCGGCCGAGGGGCTCCGGCCCTGCTGCTCTGGGGTCAGGAAGCCTGAACCTGCCCATATACCCACAGTGGGGCCTGAACACCGGGGGTTGCTCCCCCCAAACCGTGCATCTGAATCCCCCAAACAGCGGGCGCCGCTCCCCCACTGCCCTGGCCAGCGGCTCTCGGGGGCCGCCATGACACCGGAGTCCCCCTCGCCCCAGGTCACCGGGGCTGCCCCTCTCGCCGTGGCCCTGCGGGCTCGCGAAGGCCGTGCCGGTACTTTTCGTGTTCGTTTCTAATTTAATAAACGTCCGTTTGGAGCTCCAGAACGAGAGCGGGGCTGCCGCGCCCCGAAGGGGGCGGTGCAGAATCGCGGGCAGCCGGGCGGGCGGAACTGGGGGCCGCGGCCGGAGGAGCCAGAGGGACCGATCCGGGCGGCGCACCCGGAAGCGGCGCGGCGCAGGGGCCTTCCGGGAGTGCGGGAGCGGCGGCGCCGAGCGGGGCGGGCGGAGGGGGCGATGCTGTCGCGGGCGGGGATCCGGGCCCGGCCCGGCCTCGGGCTGCTGCAGGTGCGGGCAATGAGGGCGGGTGGGGAGGGAACGCGGAGAACTCCCCGTTCGGGGAGTGCCCACGTGGGGACGGTCCGGGTAGCGGATGCTGGAGGGGCTCGGAGAAGGGATCTGGATTGGGGGCGCCAGGATGAGGGGGATAGTGCTGGCGGTCTGGGAAGTGCTGGGGGGAACTGGGCAGGGATGGGGTAAAGCGCTGTGGGGGGACAGAGGGCGGACAGGCACGGAGGGTCGGAGGTGGGGGTTGGTGGGGCGGTGGTTTCGCGGGTCCGAGAAAGAGGCGAGGGGGAGTTGTGCAGGGGTTGGGGTTACAGGGGGCTGTGGACAAATGGGTGTGGGGGATTGAGGAGATACCCGCGGTCTGTGGTGTTGGGGCTCCGGCAGAGTGGTGGGGTGGTGGTGAGGAGCTGGGCAGGAACAGGGCTGTGTGGGCACGGCGGGGTGAAAAAGATAAACGGGTACGGGGGGGCTGAGAGAGAGTCGGTGGGAGCACGGTGTCGGTGTTTGCGGTCCGGTGAAGGGCTGGCGGTGTGGGGGCTCGGTGCGGGAGAGCTGGGCAGGGACGGGGGAAGGTGCGGCGGGGTGTGCAGTGGGCAGACGGGTACGGGGATTGAGCAGGGGCAGAGTGGGGGGAGCCGGGCAGGGAGAGAGGTGAGGGGCAGGGAGGTGATGTAGAGAACAGACAGGTACAGAGAAGCTGAAGAGGGTGGTCAGTAAGGGAGTGTTTGGGGCTGGGAAGAGCTGCGATGTGGGCAGCGGGATGCACAGGGATAGAGAGTAAGGAGAGAGAGGGGTGTGGTGCAGAAGACAAATGAATGAGGAGGTATCTCCGGAGGTGGGGGTTCAGTGGAGGGGTGGTGTTGAGGTTTTGGGGGACACCATGCATGGTGTGAGCAGGAGGGGTGCAGAGGACAAGTGGGAGTACAAGGAGGGCTGAGAGAGAGGGGTCTTTGGAGGGGTGTTGGGGGTCTGTGGATGCTGGGATGGTGGTGGTGAACTGGGCAGGGATTGGGGTACGGGGGGGCATTCAGAGGAGGCTGTGGACAAATGGGTATGGGGAGGGCCAGTGGGGGGTGGCTGAACATGGGCAGTGGTGACGTGGGTCTGGGTTGTTGTAGGAGAAATGGATGTGTGGGGCTGTGGAGGTGTGAGCTGGGTTGGGATGGGGAGAGGTTGAGGGAAGCTGTGTGAGTGAAGGTCCATGGGGAGGAGGGTGGGGGAATGCCTGGACAAAACAGCTCTTTGTGGGAAGCCCTGGAGGCAGCCAGAACTGGGGAGGGACAGGTTGTTGGAAAGGGGTGGCCTGGGACTGAGGTGGGGGAGTGGGCCTGAATGGGTTATAGGGGCTGAGTGGAGCAGAAGAGACCCACATGCACACACCTTTGTTGCCCTTATGGTGGCAGAGAGGCTTCATTCCCCACTCCAGGGTGGATGTGAGAGGAGTGGAGACATGCAGAAAGCTCTGGCATGGGAGTGATCCCCCCTGCACCAGTGGAGAAGACTGTCCCTGGCGCCCAGGCCTCATCCCTGTGGGAAAAGCCTTACAGCACGGGCTTGTTAGGGGCATTGTTTCCTGCCCTGGTCTCCTGGTCATGAGCCCAGATGGGGTAGCAGGTGTGGAGCTGGGCTCTGAGATGCCAGCAGCTGTCTCAGTCCTGCTCCCTCTCCTTCCCCCAGCACTCCCAGCAGCTGAAGCATGCGGCACGGCTGGCCCCGGCTCCGTGCCGCTGGAACTCCGGGCTGCCCATGAACATCGGGGTGCTCTTTGTGCCGCAGCAGGAGGCCTGGGTGGTGGAGAGGATGGGCAAGTTCCACCGAATCCTCGAGCCTGTAAGGAGCAGCTTTTCTCCCCTTCTGGATTCAGCAGGTTCCTAAAGCTGTAGCGAGGCGCGTCCTTTGCACGAGGATCTAAGAGGGGTGGTGGGCTCAGTTTCCCAGGCCAAAATCCTTTTGGCTGCCTGTGGACTAATTTTCCTTGGTGGGGTGTTAAAAGTACTGAGTAACTAAAGTTCCTTGTGTGTAAAACGTGTTTGTAGTGTGTGGCATGGGCTTTGTTTGCATGACTCTCTCTAGTGTATCAGCCATCTAATCCCACCCTTTTCCCAGGGTTTGAACTTCCTCATCCCTCTCCTGGATCGGATTCGTTATGTCCAGAGTCTCAAAGAAATCGTCATTAATGTCCCAGAGCAGTCAGCTGTCACACTGGGTGAGGAACGGCTTCTGTGTCCTGCCCCTTTCCTTCTGCTGCATCTGGGGTGAGCAAGGGACAATGTGAGGATGAGTGGAATTGTCCCAAGCTCCTGCACTCAGCCCTGTCCCTTGGTACCCAGGCTTGGCTATAAAATCACAAGATCACTGAATTATTTGGGTTAGAAAGGATCTTAAAGTTTGTCTTGTTCCTGCCCCTGTGCCATGGACAGGGGACATGTTCCACTCGGCTGGGCTGCTCAAAGCCCTGTCCAGCCTGGCCTTGAACACTTCCAGGGATGGGGCATCCACAGCTTCTCTGGGCAACTTACTTCAATGCATCACCACCCTCACAGTAAAGAACTTCTTCCTAACATCTAATCTAAGCCTGTCCTCCATCAGCTTAAGGCCATTCCTCCTTGTCCCATTCCTCTGTGTCTGCTGTCTCTGGGCTGCAGCTGCCCCTTCTTGCTAACTTGAATGTACCTGGCCAGAAATAAATTTTTCAGGTGTTTTCCTGTATTGAAGCACAAAAGAAAATTCTGTTTCTGTTAAAAACATTTTAGAACATGTTAGTGGATGTGATGTTAATGGACGGCTCTGTTATATTTCTAGTTTTAAGTGGTTTGTTCTGTTTTTTCCCTGCTTAAATCTTTATTTACAAGAGCTACAGTGTGAAATTGCTTCTATTGGGAAAGTCAAGACCTGTTGTGTGTTAAAACATTACAATGTTGTCCAGGGAACGTAAGGTCCTTTTTACAAAGCCTTTAGATAAGATCTATTTCAGCCAATCCTCTTCTGTGCCATGCAGCTGTGTCAGGGTGAAAAAGGATGAGCCTGCCCAGCTGTGCTGTGGAAGAGGGGGTTTCTGTGTTTTGTTTGTGCTGCTTCAGTGAACAGGTTCTGTTCTCTCCTGACAGATAATGTCACCCTGCAGATCGATGGTGTGCTCTACTTGCGGGTTATGGACCCCTACAAGGTACATCCCTGCCCCTTTGCCACCTTTCTCCTGGCTCTGCCCACTCTCTGCTCCCCAAAATGTTTGTTCCATCCTCTGTGTCCTGCCTGGCAGGTGGGCTGGGCACTCCCAAGGCTCCAGACTCCATGTTTTCAGCAGGGGTGAGAAATCTGGCAGATTTCTCTCTTTAGCGCTCTCTGTCTCTCCTGTCTTGTTCAGGGTCCCTCTTGGCATTCCTATCCACTCTGTTTTGTGCTTCTGCTCTTCAGGCCAGCTATGGGGTGGAAGATCCTGAGTATGCAGTGACCCAGCTGGCCCAGACTACCATGAGATCTGAACTTGGCAAACTTTCCCTCGACAGAGTCTTCCGGGTGAGCTGGGGAGGTGGATCACAGAGCTGACGGTGTCTCACAAAATCCCAGGACAGCCTGCATGGCCAGGCTGATGTGCTTAACAGCAAAATGCCCTTTGCTTACAGGGCTTATGGCTTCTGTTTCAGTTGACCTATTGGTGAATCCTTGGAGATGGGTCTTCTTTCAGTTGTGTTTTTAACAGGAGCTATTTTTTGCCCTGCCCTGGGTTATTTGGAGGGGTTGATGGGTGGTATGTGCCCAGACCCAGCTGGTCCAGCTGCCTTTCTTGAGTCAGTCACTCTTTACTCAGCCCCAGTGGTGAATATCCCTCACCTGTGTCATAGGGTACTGTAATCCTTGTACTTCATTTGCTGGGAAGAAACTGGAGATGCTGGCATTCTCTTGTATCCAGATGTATGCCAAATGTTGTATCCCAGCAGCTTCAGTGTGGGTCACTGCTCTCCCTAGGAGATGGTGACCCTTCAACAGCTGCAGGAAGCACCTAACCCTTCCCGAAACCTGTGGAGATGTTTTTTTCTGGCAGACCTTGGCCTCCGAGGGAGGTGTCTGTTTCCCTCCTGACACGTCTCTCATGCTAAGCCCCTCTTCTCTGCTCTCTGCCATTTCTTTTGTGCCATCCAGGAGCGGGAGTCCCTCAATGCCAGCATTGTGGATGCCATCAACCAGGCTTCAGACTGCTGGGGCATCCGGTGTCTGCGCTACGAGATCAAGGACATCCACGTGCCCCCACGTGTGAAGGAATCCATGCAGATGCAGGTGAGGCTCTCTGGGAGGGAGGTCTGGAACAAGAGGGAAGCATCCTTTCCATATTGCATTACAGAATCACAGAATCAGTAATGTTGGAAAAGACTTCACATCATCAAATCCAATCTATGATCAAACGCTTATTTGTCAACCAGACCATGGCACCAAGTGCCATGTCCAGTCTTTGCTTAAAGATCTTCACAGTGTCACTACCACTTCTCTGGTAGCCCATTCCAATGTCTAATCACCCTTTCTGTGAAGAAATTCTTCCTAATGTCCAACCAAAATCTCCCCTTGTGTTGCTTGAGACTGTGTTGTCTCATTCTGTTGCTGACTGCCTGGGAGAAGAGTCCAACCCCTGTGTGACTGCAACCTCCTTCCAGGTAGTTGTAGAGAGTGATAAGGTCTCTCAAGACCTTGTCTCCTCTTGTCCAGATTAAACAGCCCCAGCTCTCATCAGATTTGTGCTCCAAATCTTCCCCA